TATTCTCAGATCACTAGAAGTTCTGCATTTCATCAACAGACAAATTGTTCATAAACATTAGGTTTTACCTCATTTTTCCTTTTTAAAAACTTTGACCTATCATCAACATGTTTGGAAAGGCATACAGAGGAGTGATGCTTTCTTTTTGTTCATAACTGGTTGTATTTTTTCCTAAATGTATTTCAAAAAATCTATGTGATACAACTGTATTGTTTATAATACTAAAAACTAGGAGACACTATATTATACACTGATTATAATGTGAATTTCAAACATGAATGGGATAAATTATGTTGAATATTGACTTGGGTAAAAAATAGGAGTTTGTTCCTATACATCACAAACATTTTTCAGATTTCAAGAAGAAACTAACTACAACAATTTTCAATTTAAAATAAAATGTTCCCTTTAAAATTGTTAAAAAGCTATTTCAAGTAACAAGAAAGTTATAATTTTAATGCTGTAATTTCTCTCTACTACACACTTTAGGAATAATGATCTCTATATATATGTGCAGAAATGAAAGTCTATATACACATATATGCATACAAAAGGCATATTTTTGAAATTTGTGAGTGATGACTTTTGAGTTTATACCCTTTGCTAATTTCATGTAATATGTGCTTTAATCAAATGAAAATTTCTTTACTTGCACAAAAATGGATGTATGTTCAACATTTCTGAATACAGCCAAGAAACTTCCAGGTGACCCTTGAAAAGGAATCACGTTATGATTTGCCTTTGTATTGTACAAAATTCCTAGTGACTGTGTGTTGTACTTCAATGTCCAGACCTCCAAGGCAGTACACCTCTGTTTTTATTGCTGCCATGTTTCTTCAAAGCATTCACTATTTATTCACATGTGGCATTTCTCTGTTCATTGTTTGAACAAAAATAGCTCAATTTGATGAGTGTCAGATGTAGAGTAGTTATTTCCTTACTAAGTTTAAAACCAAATCTGTTTCTAACAATAGAAACTGTTTTCTATAATTCATTAATTGATGCAGCATGCACTAATCTGTTTTCTGGAAATTGTAAGAGGATTTTTCACTTAAAGACAGAAGGAGAAAGTGCAGGTTAAAGTACCATCTGTTCTTCTGTACCTGTGTTCTTTAGTCAACATGCATCTATATTTTGTATAATTAAGACTGTAAAATAAAAACCAGCATAGATTATGACAGGACATCTCTGAATTCTTACTGAATTTGCACCAATCCAATGTGGGTGACAAGAACAATTCCTTACAAGAGGTGTGTTGAACTGGGGCATTATTTCAACTCACCTTATTTAGGACATGATAGAAAATTAAGCTTAAACATATATCACATGCCAAATGTTATCAATAACATGATGGGCCTCCGTGTTTCTCCTGGGAAGTCAACTTTATGTCAGCTGATTCTTTACAGACTGTAGTTCATTTGAGCAGTGTCTCACCTAACAGCTGATACAAAACATGATCCAGTGATGCTGGCAATTTGCTGAGGTGTATACAGAAAGAAGTTGGTGGGGCAGAGGTCTGGTTCAACAGATCTTTCTTTTTTTCAAATGGAATTCTTTATAAAGTCAGAGTTGGTTGTCAGTATTCAGGATGCTGCCACAGCTGAGAGTTCTGTGTCTGACATTTGCCTCTGATTGTGGATATGGCTGCTGTTACCTGCCACATCCATCCTCAGGTTAAGGATTTTTCTTTTTAATTTTTATTTGAGGACCTTAAGCTATCAATGCATGGTCTGAAATGGCCTTCATAGTCTTTGGGTACAGAGGATTTAGCACAGCATTTTATTCTTGATGAGTTCAAAGCATGACTTGATTTAAACCATTAGCTATTCAACCAGGCTTGTATTTCCCCCTTCTCTCAGTAATGCTGTGCTCACTGTTGAGAAACTTGTCATTCACTTAAGAAGAAGGTTTAAGGTTAGATTTTGTTTGTGAAGAAAAATTCTTCCCTTAGAAATTGTTCCAATCTTTTGTCCAGCATCTTTGATAGCCTTCAGAGTATTCTATGGTAGTCATTTCTTCTGTTTAATTCACAGGCTTATAAACAAGCAAAGCAGTCAGAGTATAGATGTAAATCTAATTTTTCAGGAAAATCCATCAGGTCATTATTTATGCAAAAGGCAAAACCATGTTTTTAAAGTTTCATTATTGTTACAGTAGACCCTGCAAAACAAACCTATATAAACTCTAAATAATGGGAAAATCAGGACTCACTCAGTAATTATTATGTAGCACCACAATTATTGAAACGCTGGCAAATTTAATTTTAACAGATGTGCTCATGTTTGGTAACCATGATATTTGATCATGTTTGGTAGCCATGGTATTTGATTGGTGATTTGCACCAATCCAATGTGGGTCAAGAACACAAGAGGTGTGTTGAACTGGGGCATTCACCATGTTGAACTGCTGAATAACATGGATTGCTTTTTATTAACAGGAGTCTCCTAAAAGAAACTGAAGAACCCTGTAGAAATTTTGCAAATAAAATTTCACATTTAGTTGTTGCCAGGAAGCTGACTGACATATCCATATTGTGAGACCACACAAGGACTCTTAGCACACCTTCTTGAAACCTTCAATAGTTAACTATTGAAGAGGCAAAAACAGACTTTGTTCTTCCCTTTATAATCTTGGAATGATCTTTCATTTGGTAGTATTCTCTCAGCTTATTTGACTCCTGGCTTTATGTTCATCTTAGCAACAGCTTTATTCCAATCATATTCTTTGTCCCAGTATCTACATGAACACATTATTCTGTTCCTGGTCCTGTGCAACAGTGTGTGTTCCTGACAAGAGGTGCACTGTGCAGGGTCAGTGCACAGCTGTGGAAGGAGCCTTCAGTGCACTGGGTTCTCCAGGACTCCAGTGGTTGTGTAGGAGAGCAGCAGAACACTCAGAGATCATGAGATGATGCTGGAGATCCCAGCTGTTTGCAGCTTTAAGCCAAGTTGGAGCTGGTTGCACTGCAGTGGCAGCTGGGTGAACTTGGCAAGCAACATTTTCAGGTTTTAATTGCATTTACTAAATCTGTCACATTGCTGATACTGCCTTACAGATGAAATGTCCTTAACTTATGGAACATAAATTGCCAGTTGCTGCCATGCATTTCCAAATTGCCTGTGAAAGTTGATGAACAACTTGCTACTCATCAGTGAATTTCACAATATAAATATCTGAAGTTTTCTGTCATAATATTATAACTTCTGTCACAATATTAATAGTTTTCTGTCATAATATTAAGTCAGAACATTATAGAGTATTAGTTCATTATTAGTACCTGCACTTCCACTATGTTTAGCACAGTGCCTTTAGTCCAGTGAAATGTTAGCTGACCATATATTCAGAAATAACCACAATTTCTGAATCCCAACTCACTAAAAAATAAATGTCTGAAAAATGATATTAAAGTGAGTCTTGCGAACCAAACTTCTGTTTGAATGTAAAACTAAAAAGACAGATGGAAAGCAACCTTAGAAGTCAAAATTCCAAAAATGAAACTCAAAGTTAAAATCTTAACATGAGGTCATTTAAATATGAAATTAAATATGTGACCAGAGAGGAACAAAGAAGGCTTATCTCCCTGTCCATCTGGCAAATGAATGACTGGGAAGATCATATCCTTAGAACTGTTCTTGCAAAACAACTCACTGGAGACCTGACCATAACCATGTTGATTGTGAAATGTTTGTTGCTCTTGTATCAGTGGTGTGTTGTGGTATTATTATAATGTAGACTTTGGGGTTTTGTATTGTATGAGAAAGTACTGGAAGGTGAGTCATAGTTGCTTTTTTTTTTCTGTTAGTTTTCTGGTTTTTTCTGAAAACTCATTTTCTCCATTTTTAGTTATTGATTGATAGAAAATGATGATTCTGTCCTTGTATGGATATTGTGCTAAAGGTTTCATGTGACTAGCAGCATAACTGGGAAGAGAAAAAAAGAGATGGAGAGTGAAAAAGAAACTGAAAGATGCCAGAAGTTGAGTACAAACAAGACAGGATGAAACTGATTATTTTAAAACCATGCAGTAAAGTGAAGAAGGAATAAATGGGTTCCATTTGCATTATTTGCATCAGATGCTTTTCTTAGAACAATTTTCAAGCTGAATACTGAGTATGGCAATATTAATTATTTGATGAACTGAGGTCTTATCTAGATATTTCCTGAGAACCACTAAGCCCTTAAGTCATGGAATACCTTATGAATTTTCAAGTGTTACTTCAAACCAGGGCTTACTTTATAAAAAAAAGTCAGCAAAATCAGACTAAAGGGCTGTTAACGAAATGTAACAAAATGTAAACAAAGTACATCATTCTGGCCCGTTCTCTATTGTTGGGAAAGCCTTCAAAATAAATCCTGTAAAATGCAGGGGTTTTCCAAGGCCCTGGGCAAAGATTGAGCCCATGATTCATCAGGAATTGCTGTAAAGTAAGAGATCAGGGTCTTCTCCTCTCAGAGGTGACCTGCACTTCTCCATGGACACTGCTCTGTCTTCATCCACTGCTGCTGTGGAGCACCTGAGGCCACCTGTCCCCTCTGCTACATCCTGCCTTCTTTCATGCAACAGTGGAGAAGTCTGGGACAGTCCTTGTAGTGTATTTCTCCAAAACACTAAATTTGTCAGCATCAGAAGGATTAGCAGCCAAGTTCCCTCTACTCTTGCCTCTTTTGGAAGAACATGAGGAAAGTTTCAGGACTATTGTCAAAGGAATTTCTGCTCTTGGTAGCAGGGGAGAAAAAGCAGTGTGTCATATGGCAGACAGAGAATTAATTATGAAAAAAGGTGTATATATTTTTTTCTGTTGAAGAATATTAACAATGTTTTAATACAGTCACGATGGTGAATCCTTTTCTCAGTCTGACACACAGAGTTTATCCTTTTATTTTTATGTTCCTGCCCACCACGTGTCCTTTCCTTTTTCAAAACAGACCATGAAAATATATTTTTCTGATGAGAGGCAGAAGGTATGGCCATTTAACTGTATGTTTTTATACATCTACAGATGCAGCAGCTTGAGAAGCAAGTTATAGATGCTGATCGTCAAGCAGAGAGAGCATTTCAGCAGGTATAAATGGAATAAATATCTCCACTAGCTGTGTGCATGTGGTACTTTAATGAGGTGAAATTCAAAAAATTGCTTGATTTTTAAGTACTTCTAAAAATGGAGAAGAAGACAGTTTCCTTTAAATTCTATTGATTTGTCTTAACAGAGAGTTTTAACACCTTTCTTTGCTCACTATTCAATTCATTTCAATAAAGTCAAAGCTAACATCACAAACCAAAAGTAGATACATGGAATGAGCTTCTTTATTGGTGCATCAGGAATTTTTGATACATGGTGCATGTGGAAACAAAGGGGAGAGGAAACAATGGTCTGTTTTAGAAGATCTGTAAGAAAATAAAATCAGGCTACCCAATACAGCATCTACATAAAACTGTTCTGTGTTTGTTCCTCTTGTAGAAGTTACATTGTTTAAAGAATGGGATCATAGCTAAATATTTAACTGAAGTTGCCTTTTGATTCCAAATGGCAGACTTAAGCTACTGTAGACATTTTATGAACATACCTCTGGCATCCCTGAAACATTCCTCATATCTTGCTGTGAGACAGATAGAAACTGAAAATTATAAGACTAGAATGTTCATGTACTAATTTGGAGTTAGAAAACATTCCTGACTACAAGCCAAGTATTTTTAAACAATTTTTTAGAATGCTACCGATAATTTGCTGGGGTTTTTTATAGTGTGCAATTGTTTATTTATTAAAACATTGTTTACAGCTCCCTGTAGATAAATTGCATTCTTCCCATACTGGTGTTTCTAAAAGCTTCTGTGTTACAAGACTAGAAGCCTCTCACAGATACTAACAAAACCTGTGTAAGATCTTTCAGTGCTTTGCCAGTCCTGTTGGTATTAGATGAATAGGAAGATGTAAGGAACTGTGTGGTTTCTTCTCAAATAGGCTTCAAAACTTTGCAGGGTTGTCTTGAATCTTAAGTGCAGAGGCATTTTTAAGTTTATTTTGTGATTAAATTACTAGCTTTGACTTGGAGTGTTATGTTCCTTAAACTTTTATATTTGACTTTCCAAATAGGTGCAGATTATGGAAGAGAAATTAAAAGCAGCAAATGTTCAAACAAGTGAATCAGAAACCAGGTTGTATAAGAGATGTCAAGATCTGGAGATCCTGATACAAGATAAAAATGATATAATACAAAAATTGGAGCAACAACTTGAAGAACAGGTTAGGAATAATTGTGTTAAAAAAGAGAAACATCAATCCCCTTTTTAATTATACAAAAGTAAAATAAAAATTTAGATCAATGGAGGACAGAAAAGTTCACCATTATTTCTGTTGTTTGATTAAAGAGGTTCCCATTGGAAGTATATAATTTGAATAATGTTTATTCCTTTTCAAATTAAGCTCTGGCTTCCATTGAAAGAACATGTGACCTTTAAGAGGGGAAAGATGATATCCCTCTTCACTGTCCCCCCTGAAGAGCTTTCATTCTTACTAGAGGAAAAGGAATAGCAGCCTTTGTGAAGACTCTATTCCTCATTTTTTAAAAATCACCATCCATTACCCAGGAGCCTGAATTACTTCAAACAATCTTAGGATTTGTGTCTGAAGATACTACTCAGGCAGATGATATTACTCAGTGAAAAATATGCTTATGTCAATTTTTTCCAGAAGCAAATAAGACTGCAAGAAGCAAAAATCATAGAAGAAAAAGCAGCTAAAATAAAAGAATGGGTGACAGTCAAGCTTCATGAGGTATATATAACTCTTGCTACAATACTTACACAGGAAATATAATGGTGTGACTGGATATTCCTTAGACCTTTGGGCTGTTAAAGGCCTGCATGCCTTGGAAACATTGCTTCCCAGTTTCATTGATTTTCTAGTTATTTGCTGGAAAGAGGAGAATTGCAAACAACAGCACAGAGAGCAGAGTGTCCATGTCACCTAAATTCTGATGTCTGATTTGGTCAGCCAGTATGATCTGGGTCCTCTTTCTGGAGAAAGGACCCAGCACTGGTCTCTGAAATGTCAACTTCTCCACTAGCTGAGAGAGCTTAGCTGGCAAACTCAGCTTATTCAAGCAGATGCCTGAAGTGTGAATAATCTCCAGAAAGCCAACCAAGCCTGCTGGGGCCTGGCAGAAAAAAGGCCTTGATCATTTTTTATTTCACAATGCCCACACTGCTCTTAGTCATGAATAGTTTCAGGGACACCAGCTCTAGTTTCAAGAGACCAGTTGTCTCCCTTTTTCTCTGCTGTGGTAAGATAACCATGTCTCTGCCCTGCCTAAAGCTGTCAGCTTTGGGGTGCAGCTGTGCTTTCTCCTCCCTGGATGTAGAATTCAAAGTTGGCTGTACAAGTTAAAATCTTACTCTCCTGTAGTTAACTGGAAGTTATACTCAAGTCGAAAAACAGTTAAGTTATTGTTTTTGAAGTAAGAAACTAGAAGGTTATTACATAAAATATTTACTTTTCATCTGTGAGGGCTGAAGCAAATTATTTAGAAATAATTTAATAAAAATGCCATTAAATTTAGCTAAAATTACCAGGAAAAAGTTTGGACAAAATCAAGTATGACTCAAAGTATTTACTTACTCTTTATGGAAAATCTCAAGCCAGTTTCACAGATGTGACTAAGTGTCACTCAGTGGGAAGTGGAATTGCTGGCTCCCTTCTTTGTGGCAAGGGATACTCAGATCCAAATCTGTTTGCCTAATCTGGGGCAGGAGTTTGAACTAGCATCTTTTACCTCCCACTGGGGGGCTACAGCAATGGGTTGTTGGTTTTTTTATTTCCTCTACAAACACTTTTGTTTGGTATAAAGTTTGTTGGCACCTGTTTTGGTTTTTTTTCATTTTTGCTGTGGGATAGTAAGGAGGCATTAGGACTAGCATTCCTACTGATTCCTCTGCTCACTCTTGGTTTTGCCAAGTGGCACAGGAGTTTGTAATTCTAGCCTTCCGCTTTTATTAAAAATGCCAATGCAGTTTTCTTTTTCCTCTTATTTATTAAGGATTTTTAAAGCAGTCATGGGTTTGCTTGGTTGGGGGAATGATTTTGGCAGAATTGAGAAAATAATCATTGCAGGGAATTTAGTTGTTCAGAATAAAGAACAACTCTAAATAAAAGAACAACTCTAAATGAAAGAACTACTCTAAATACCTAGAGTGGTATTTAGAGTAGCAGAGAGGAGATTATTTGAACTAGCTCTATCCTTAGATAAGAAGAAATTCAGAGAAAACATAAAAGATGTAATGACTTTAAGATTTGTTTCACCAATGGATGAGATTACATTTATATGCTTTTAGTTAGAGGTGGAAAATCAGAACCTTCGCTTGATCAACCAAAAGCAAACCAAAGAGATGAAAACAGTACAATCTAAACTGCAAGGTAAATGTACAAATCTTCTGAAAACTTCTCTCTCTATGGCATATTTCTTTTTATTCCCTATTAATGTGTGCATCTACATGATTGAAAATATTCTGTGAAATCACAAAGATCTCAGAGAGTATGAAGTGACATCAGAGTTACTGCACATGAAGGTGTTAGGAAGGAACCATTTGGTTTTATGCTGACAAGACACAAAGACAAGGCACAACTGGTATTAGTGGGGTGAATGAGTACCACTGTTACTTAAGAGGTTCTGCTTACTTAAGAGTAGTAAGATTACTTACTTAAGAAATCTTAAGAGTAGTAAGATTTTACTGGATTTAGGACAGATCTTTGCTTTCACATCTTTACAGCATAGGTGGTCATAAAACTGTTAAAGAACACATGAATGTCAGTCTGCATTTGCTTTTTCCAGCAAATGGTCAGCTGGGAATCAGAACTCCAATCAGATATTTTTAGTTACTACCTTAGACTACAGTGATCCACAATCTTAATTCAGACCCAGTATCACCAAGTTTGTTTCCAAATGGGTATAATAAATTTAAAACTCATGAAGTGTAAATAAAAAAGAGAGGAATATCCCCTCCAAGAAGCATTAATATAAGATCAAAGTTGAATTTTATTCACCACCATGTTGCCTGTTCACCAACTTAAGTGTGTCTGAAGGTTCCCCTTGTCCTGTCCACATTTGGTTGATCTGACAATTTACTATCATATGAAAATTTTGTTAATTTGCTACCTAGCCCTCATTTCTTGATAATGTATCTTACATATACATGTAAATACACAGATATTTAGAAATGTGTGTAGAGGAGTGTGTACACACATAATATGCATAATATATGAGAATAGAGAAATTTACAAATTCATATACAATATAAAGTTTTTAAACTAAAATGCACTTTTCTGTTAATGAAGAAACAGTATAGTTTTGGTCCTTTGCTATCTTTTGATAAGTAGCAACATACTTCTTCCATACACTTCTAGTCATTCTCTTCTGAGAGATCTATTTCAAGGCTTTTTGAGACCAAAACTTTGGTAGTTCCCAACACACAGTTACTGATATGCCCAGAAATATTAAGAAATTTATTACCATTTGCAGTTTCCATGCTGGTGAAAGGCTATAAATTATGAACACGTGGTACTGTTTTAAACAGTTTTACAGGTAGTGTAAGGGCCTTTTGTTCCTGGATCCGCCACAGGGATTTTTATGAACAGGGATGGACTGATTTCACGTTTGAGGCAGTTCATCAATTTCTGCTTTCACTTTTTCTTGAAGTCCTTCTCCATATCGACCTTCTAAACTTGGTAACTTACTCTTCTGTATTTCCTATGAAATTGTTAAAAGATTTTTTCTTTCTATTATTATATCAATCTTTAAGAACTAGAAACATTACTCTGGGTTTCTCCTGATACAGGGAGATGTCAAGTAGCTTTTTTTTTTTCCTATAATACATTCTTATCTTTTTTTTTTTCTAAATTTTAGTTACCTTTAAAGAAAAAAACTTTGCACTGTAAAGAGAAGAGTTGCATAGCTTGTTGTATCTCCCTAACACAAGACTTCTGAATTACTATTCTTCAGAAGCTACTGGTAAGAAATCTGTTACTTCAACACAAAAGCCTGGAGAGTGTCAGCGACTAAGCAGTTTGACTTTTGGATGCTTTTCAAATAGAGCAAGAAGTCCTCAACCATCTCCTAAGCTTGAAGAAATAAGCAAGGCTTCATCTAAGGAGTCAGACTACCCTGAGGGCAAAAACATGCCAGGTACCTTGTCATCAACACTGCTATTTTTATTCTGACACAAGCGGGAAACTAAAATCAACAACTCTGTCAGTGCATCCAAATCAGCTTGTTCAAATTGCATACCAGCACTGTCTCCCTCTTCATTGCTACTCTTCTATTACTAGGAAAAAATCATCCTGTTGAGCACTAGAATCTCTGTAATACCACTAATACATTATCTGGCAGCATGCAGAGGCTCCTGGGTGCTTTGGCTGCAAAGTAAAGATGTGGTTGTGACCTTTGTGTTTGCTCTGGTCCTTTGCTCAAATCCCTTGTACTGTTTATGACTTCAGTATTTTCTCCACAGTTAATCATGGTATCCAAAATGGCAAGCTGAGGTCTTTTGAAAACTGGAAACTGAAAGAGATCCTGTGAATATTTTGTGTATTTATATTACAGCAAGTTCATTATGAAGGTGGCTATGTATTATACCTTCTATTTTTACAGAGGAGGGAATTGAAGTAAGAGTGATTTTTTTTCAAGAGAAAGATAAGACATAGAACTTTAGGCTTGCCTAGATGGAAACAGATAATTTTGGGGACTTCATTACTTTAATGTGTGTGAAATTAAAATCTTTGTCTTATTCAGTCCACTTTAACTTCACACAGGTATTTAACACAGATTTTTCCAAGTGTCTGTGTGGAAAGACCCTAGTTCTTGCATCCAGTTTAATTTGAGAACGTGCAGGCCTCACTAACATGTTGCAAGCTCTCGCTCTCTCTTGTAAAACCAGGTAAAAGCAAAGAGCAGGAACAAAGCTATTTTTAACACAGCGTCTTTCCTGAAGTACTTTCCATGAGACTCTTGTGTATTTTAAGCATTCACCATTGGGAATACAATAATAGCTTCCAGAATAAATTTCTGTGTATAAACACTGTAGAAATGCTCAGAATACTTGATTTGTTAATGAAAATCCTTTCTGACAAGCTTTATTAAACTTTAACTTTCCCTAGATTTAACAAAGCAGCTAAATATGTATGCCCCCTTAAGTAGTTGGCTTTTTGTTAGTTTTATTTGTTTGTTTGTTTTCACACATACATGGCTTTAAAATATGGCTCCAGTCTGCTTATCTTTATATTTATTGACATTTTTAGTTCAGGTAGAACTTTGAGTAACGTTTATTACAGTTTTTTGGCAAACTTAATTTGCATTCAGTCACATTAAAAATTTATTATATTTTTCTTAATGTTTATTATTTACAGTATTAAAAACCATAAATGTTCTCGTGCATTTGAAATTATTACCTACTTACTACTTGCAGGCATGATGACAAAACCATTTATCAGCCAGGTTTGCTAAAGTAATTTTCTCATGTTCATTATATTCCTCCTCCAGAGAAGGATATCCTGGAAACTACCTTTGCTGGTCCTGTACACGAGACAAATAAAGGTCAGAAGTCATTGCAACAAAGTTCCTCTGGTTCAGAGCAGAACAAAAATGTGAGAACAAGCTGCTCATCCAAAGACATAGACAGTGACATGTCAAAGAACTCATGCACTACTGGGAGTGACTGGAGCTCAGATGAGGATGGAGGAGACAATAAAGGACTGAAATCCAGGTGTGCATCAACTCTTTCAAGCCACACATCTGAAGAGAACACAAGGTACAGTAGAGTGGGAAGTGAAATGTATTTGACAGCATCTGATGACAGTAGTTCTCTCTTTGAAGAAGAGAGCTTTGATGTTAAGAGGACTCAGCAAAAGAAGCTATACTCATGGCAGCAAGGGTCCCAAAGAAAAGGCCTGAACAATCTGGGTGGAAAGTGCAACTCTGACTTCACAAGGAAAAAGAAAGACCAAGACAGTTCTTCAGATGAACTGAATAAGAAATTTCAATCACAGAGGCTTCATTATTCATCCTCATCCAGTGAGGCAAATACCCCAAGTCCAATTTTACTCAAACACCCAATTCTAGCAACTTCTGCAGGTTCTCAATGCACAACTCCATCAGATTTTCCCTCAAATTTGCCACATCCAAAGTTACGGACTCCTAATGTCTTTAGTCTAAATTCAGTGTTAGCAAAGAAACACCTAAGCCAGCCCCAGCTGAGTTCTGACAGAATGTTTGGTAGGAACAGAAATGCCATAAGCATGATCCGTCCGTGGAGACCTCAGGAAACAGACATAGATCTGGTGGATGGAGAAGATGCTGATATTTTAGAGAAAATGGAGATTAGCTGTGATGAAGGAGTGTTTACCTATGACACCACTGAAGCACAAAATGCTGAAGCCCAGGAACTTTGTGACATGACAAAAAAGGGTGCTAGCAACAAACCTCCAACGCCTCCATTGCATCGATTTCCTTCCTGGGTAAGTGTGCTTATAGGGAATTTTCCTGCTGGCAAAACTAACTTATTTTCATTACTCTCTTCTGTGATTTTTTTGCCTCTATTTTAATTACTTTCTGTGTATTGACAAGACAGGGCATTTACCTTCATCATAAGCTCAGAATCTAGTTTTATTTTCAGCACAGTACTCCTGCCACTGAAAAACACAGTCTCTGTTCTATAGACAAACCCAGGTTTTTTCATGTGACATGTAAGTTATGTATGTCTTCTTGAGTGCATCCAAGGATGTAATGCTTATGACTGCATTTATTTATTTATCTGAACACTAACACAGCCCTAGAATGGTGCCCTTGCTGTAATCACTGTACCACTCACAATCTAGACAATTAAGTTGACAGCAGACAACTACAAATTACAGAAGTAATTGATCACATTTCCAAGTAAAATTTTAAAGTCATGAGTCAGGATATTAAAATAGATATTAATGTTTTACACAAAATCCAAAATTAACTGTGTTAAAATGCACTAATTCTGCAGTGTCAGAGATTTCTTAATTAATAATTTATTAAATATATTTATTAATTATTGTTCAGAAATAATACTTTATGTAACAACTTCTCTATATTTTAGTGAACGTTTTGCATTATACATTTTGTTATTGTAGCCTTTTAACACAAAATGGTCAAAAAGTTGTCTTCTAATGGCATTTCTCTGCTCCTAACACACAATCTTCCATTAAAAAACATTCTTACTATAGCTTCTTTGGCACCTGATAATAGTATTTTTAAGAGTAAGTTACTTACATTGTATGAAAAATGTCAAGAAAGGCTATGGCTATCAATGTACAGCATAGAAAAGAAGGATGCATTTTTTCAGCTGCTATTGACAATGTCATTTTAGGAACCATTTTATCACATAGTTGCACTAACACAAAGACTAGGAGGCTAAACAGAACAAAAGTAATTGTTGTATTTTAATTATCTACTATCAAATCCATTCTGCTTGTATAGGAAAGTAGAATTTATGCTGTAGCCAAATCTGGTTTAAGGATGTCTGAAGCTTTCACCATGGAATCTCTTAATAAAAGTAAGTGGTTTAGCTGTTCATTGTCTCATCGACAGAAGTTCTCTTCTTATGGTGATTTGTGAGCAAGGGCCTTTAAAATATTTTTAGAAAGGTTTAGTTAAAAGCTGTTTAAAGCCTAGAAGATTATTGATTATCTTCTGGTACCTCACATCTTGACTTTGTACTGAATTTGTACTTTGTTAACTCCAGTTTATCTTGCATTTCACTACTTTGAAGAATCTATGCCAGGTACCAATTTTAAAAAGGCTAGTAGTGTTCGTGACTGCAATTTTATTTATGTCTTTAAAAGCATTGTAAATTTCAAAAAGCTATAAATCTCACATCCAAAATAGTTCAAGAGTTAGTTTGCTTTTTATAGCAGTTATGCAATGCAAAAAAAAAATTAATTTTGTTAATTAGGTGGTGAATTAGGAAGGCAATTTATAAATTATGTTGCTTTTTTAGATGCTGTTTCACTGACTTCATCCTCCATATCTGGATTATATACTTCTCTGATATATAAGAACATGACCACTCCTGTCTACACCACTTTGAAAGGGGTAACTGTATTACTGTTTAAAGAAAATTTTAAAGTACCATTAGGCTTCACATCCAGGAACTTGCTATTTCACATTTGATACTACCATGCCAAATATGTTGTAAGTTGATGTATAGAGATCAAAGACCCCTAGAAGTAATAGAAATGTCAAATAGCTGGGGAAAAAAAAAATACTGCCTATAAAATGTTACTGGCCTAGGTCAATTCTTCTTAAGTTCCTTGCTGATTTTTTTCCAAAGGCTTGTTAATTATTAAGCAGAACCACATGGCGTTCAATGTCATAATTAAAAGTGTGTGTATGTGTAGAAATGTCTTTGTGTCAGTGCCAAAGCTGTTTCTAGTCACACAGCCAGCAGTCAGTAATCACAGCATTGTTTGTCTTCTGGCAGCCTTTTGTAATTTGGAAAGACCCATGCCTTGAGCTACCTCAGGTTTCTGTTTTAAAGTATGGGTGTGGTTGAGTATGCAGAGGGCAGAGGGAATTCAGTTTCAAGTTAATATTTTTGTGCCAAAACTCACAAATCAGGCAAGAACAACTCTGAGTACTGTGGAGCCAGCAGAGCCCTGCCACAGTATGAGGGAAATGACTGATACCCTTTATGCAAGGTATCAAAAGATGTTGTGTTCACTTCTGCAGAAAGCAACTCAAATAAGCAGCAGCCCATTTCTAGATGAGTCGTCGGGATCTGAGGAAGAAGACAGCTCTCGGTCCAGCTCAAGGACTTCCGAGTCTGACTCTCGGAGCAGAAGTGGTCCAGGGAGTCCTCGGGCTATGAAACGAGGTGGGCGAAACCATAAGAACAAGTAACTTCTGGGAACTTTGGAAAACCAGGCTGTTTACATGATTTGCTTAGGAATTGATTTCTTCACTAAATAGTATGGACATCTAAAATGTAGGCTCTCAAAGCCCAGATCTGTTACTCAGTCAGGAGAAATGGCTTTATTGGTGTTATTATAAATACCTTTTAAAGGCATTAATCTCATCGTCATAAGGGAAAAGTGGCTTGTACATTTAAAGCAAAAAGCACCATTCTATACTCTGTCATGCCAAGGAATTCCTGTGACTTTTAACTGTAGAAAAATAAAAATTACCTAGAAAAAAAATGGCCATTAGAAAGAAAACACAAATATATTCAAGGTTATAAAACAATTTCATGTGATCAGAAAGCAGGTGGAAAAGTTCCCTTAATAAATTATTTGGTTCTGTCACTTCATGCAATAGAAGACTTCTTTCATTTTTACAGTGATTGTCTTAAGGTCTTGTGCAAAGATTTAGTTAGAACACTTAAATCTGGTAATGTTCTGTGTTTTGTGGAAGACAAATCTCATAGTTCTAGGTGACTGTGTTTTCCATCTGCAAAATAGAAATAATGTGCTTCATAATATTGAAAGATACATCCTTCCTCATTAGGTGATGTTATCAGTGTTATATCTCTGTATTTCTTCACTGTGTAAACAAAGGAAGTCCAAGATCCCAATGAGGCCAAGTGTTAAGATTCCTCATTAAATATTGCTTTAGAAATGCTAAATAACATTACTTGGCAGTCTCAGTTAGACGTGCAAAAATCCCAGTTACCAGGAGCTCCATGCAGTGACCCTGCAGCAGAGTGACAGAGCCACTGGTCCCACTCAACGTTTTCCAGTGGCAGCCACAGCTGGAGTCCAGTCTTGTTTCAGTGATGTAGTTTTGCCACATTAGTGTGAAAAGGACCCATAGATCCTGCTTCCCAGCAGCTCCATCCTGCTGAGCAGAAACCAGTGCCATGGCTGCAGACATATCTCATGTTACGTGCTTACACAACTGGGAAGCTAAAGTGGGTAATTTAAAAGCTGGTTTCACCTGCACTTTATATCTGTGTCTGTAAAATGGAACCATTCCTTTTGTTCATGCATTGTTTCGTGTGTGGAAACCTTTCTTAACCACAAAACACATATGTACACATCTTCATTGAGATCACATTCTTTAAAAATGTAGGCAGTCACACATTTCACCAAAAGCATGATTAGCTCACTGCAATTTGTTATGAAAGATCCATCGTGAGAAGAACCCACTCCCAAGGTCTTGGTGGCTTACCCAAGCAATAAATGAGAAAAGCTTTTTTCAAGAATAAAATTGGCAAATGAGTTGGAAAATTATTGAAACAAACGAAAAAAGGCTTTTCATTTCAGTTTTGGAGAGTATAACCTTGCAGAGTGGAACACTAGTCCTTACAAAAGAAGACGTTTACATGCATGAAAATATTTCTGTAATGAATGAGGGAGGAGTTTGAATTTTTATTACTGATCCACTAGAATTGAAAGCAGGGTGCATTTTTTCAGGATTAAAGCTAATAAACTCTAGAATCCCTCTGAAATATGAAAGTGAAACTTTTAGAAAACCTTGGTATACAAGTCCATACTGATTGCAAAACACAGTCACCTACAGCTTCAACACAAAGCAGATGTTGAGTATGACTTCTTAGTATGCAGGCAGCTGCCTGAGAAATCCAGATGCTATGGTGAGTGAGGGAAAGTGCAGGGGGAAGAAGGTTGCTTAGTTTAATTAAAGATCCTGGGTTTTTTTTCTAGACAATGAATATGATTCATGGCACTAACTCCCTCCTTAAAGAAGCTGTGGTAATGTAGAAGAAAGTGATAATATACAGAAGACATTTTTTTGTTGTTCCATTTATAAGGGACTTTAACTTCATTTAAATATGGATAAAATGAGAATTAGCTAATAGTTCAGTGTGCTGATATTCTATAAATATAAATTCTTGGTTCCTGATGGATTTATGTTGATACTTATGTTTGCCTGCAGATTCTATTAAGATGTTTCTTCTGCATGGCTATTCTGATCTCAGTTGTTTCTAATGTAATAAAAAAAAATATATAAAGAACTCTCTTTCTTCTTTTACCACAGGTGCATCTCTGTCTTCTGTGACCTCGGAAAGTGACTATGCTATTCCTCCAGATGCATATTCAGTAGATACAGACTATTCAGAGCCAGAGCAGAAACTTCCTAAGACCTCTTCCTCATCTAGTGATAATGGAAAAAATGTGAGTACTGAAGTTCTGTGAAGAAGTGCACCTGAGCTACTGTGTGTATATTTATGTTCAAAGACTGCTACCAAACCTGTTCATTCAGTCTTGCTGACTCACAGACTGCCTTATGAGTACAGACAGCAAAATATACCAACACTGTTAGCCAAATAAACTGTAATTAGTGAAGGAAAGTGGAAGATAATTCTAAGCTTTCCTATATAATGAAGGAAAAACAGCTCAACAACTCCAGAATACAATTCAAATTACTTGAAATTTCCTTTCTTGGAACCAGGTCTGGTATCAGATTGCATATCTTGGAATGCCCTTCTATTCACCTAACTATTAAAATAATAATTTTAAACTCAAAACAGTTTAAAATTATTATTTGAATAGTTAGGTGAATAGGGCATTCCTAAAAGGAGCTGAAGTCATCAGTAGAAATCTATGTGCAGTAATAAGTTTCTATCCTTTCCTCATACAGGGAAAACATCAGAGAAATCCTAGGTAGAGTAACATGTAAAGACAGGCCAAAGAAACCAAACCATTATGAGGTATTGGTCAGCCTCCAGGAGCTTCTAATGGCTCATGTTAGTAGTTAGTGTCTTAACATACAAGTGCATTGACTACCTGCTGATGAAGGTTATTTTAGGCTTTCTTCACAGGGAAAAACTGTGAACTCTATTCTGCAGAGGTACACACTAGAGGTTTGTCTGTGAGGAGCTCAGAATTACAGTGCTTTATATCTGGTTTTCAGGTTAGGACCTGGAGTTGGGAAAAAAGAATAAATTTATCTTTTATTTATCTTGCTCCTTGTTTAATATAAACAACTAGAAAGTAAAATCATCATATTCTTCATTCTTTTGGATAGTTCAGAGCACTTACTCTCCTTCATGTACTATAACAATAAGTAGGGATATTTATTAGTTATCCCATGTGCATGACATTTGTCTTAATTGATACCTGTAAAAATGTTGTCCTTGGATTAAAAGCTTCATGAAATTATTATTTAGCATGCTTTTAAGTCATTAATATCTCTGTGTCTGTATTTATACCTATTTCTGAGGGGCAGAGGTATATATGTGTATCTAACCACTTTTTATCTAACTTCTAAACAACCAGGAACCTTTGGAAAAATCTGGATATCTGTTAAAAATGGGTGGTAAAGTAAAGACCTGGAAACGACGGTGGTTTGTGCTTAAAGGAGGCGAATTGCTGTATTACAAATCTCCAGTAAGTACATGTAACTTACCTGCTATTTTGTATTAGATTGTTTACTGATAATCTAAGGCTGCTAGAAGGAAAAAAATGCATGCACTTCTGGTTTCTGAGCTGTTAGAGAGTGATTCAGTACTCACTTCCTCAAGAGGTGTACAAGGTACACAATGTCTAACTAGAAAGTATTTATCAAGATTAATGTTTAAATTAGTCTTATATTAATTTATTGCTGTTTGTTGCTAGCTTTAAAATACTCTTTTTCCATTCTTTCCATACCAGAGTGATGTTATTCGAAAGCCTCAAGGTCAAATTGAGCTAAATGCATCCAGCCATATTGAAAGGGGTGATGGAAAACAAACAATTCAGGTGCCTGCTTTTCTCCTCTGTTCCTGTTTCAGCATTCCCTCCATCCCCAAAGCCAACCCCTTGTTCCAGTCCCTGTTGCACTGGAAGTCCAAGAGTGGACTTGGAATTAAATAATGTGCTTTTCATTTGAAACTAAATAATTGTTTCAATGACAGAAAATAAAAAAAGGCCCACCTGGAGTCTTTTTTTGTATTGCCACAAAGGTTAGATCATCACATATGGGACAGAAATAAAGAGAACAGTCTTGGGGTCAGCCATAGAGGTAGAGAGAATTCATTTGTCTGAAAGGAGAACTGGGTTTTTTCAACTTGCCATCCTGGAACTTCCCAGATAAAGATTTAGAATGAGATTCTCTGCTCTGTCTGGTCATGGAATGTTTCATTACTGAAAAGTCCATCAGGGAAGATAAACTCCCTGAAGTTGTGGAGCTACATTGGGTGGTGTATGTTACAAATCCCACACTGTGGGGTCAAATATGTCAATTCTTGAAGCTCAAGACTCCTTGTTACTACACAGCTGACCACAGAGAAACGAACATACTACCTGACTGCAGATTCCCCCAACATCTTAGAGGAATGGATCAAAGTACTGCAGAATGTTCTTAAAATACAGGCTGCCAGCCCACTCTTTGTACAGTCTGAAATCAAACCAACCATGAAAGGATTACTTACAAAGGTAGGAAAACACTTCTTCCTCCAGTCTGCTTTTTTCCTACACTGTTTAGGCCAACAGTGGCCTTACTGGGCTTTAAATGAGCATCTCATCTAATGCTCTGATTCTTTTGCCCTTAATACAGTTACACAGTTTTAGTTTTATGTCCAGTGATGTGGATAGGAATTTGAACCAAGATATGCATTCCCAATATCATCAGAGTTCAGAGATGGTGAAAATAGTCGCTAGTTCTCTGTCATGATTATTACTGATGTTCTGTAATTACAGGTGAAACATGGATATTCCAAAAGGGTTTGGTGTACCCTAGTTGGAAAAACTTTGTATTATTTCCGTAATCAAGAAGACAAGGTAGGTCCATTTCTTGTTTATTCAGAGAATGTAGACTTTAAACAGAAACCTACATCTTTATTAAGGTACAGTTGGCCTTCGTATTATACACAGATTGTCAACTTGGAAGATTCTGTCTAATAGCCAGCAATGCAGACCACATCCATTGGTCTCTTTCTACAGGATGTGATCCACGTTATGCATGTTATCCCTAGATGAAGGGGGACACTGGTTTGCCTGGAGTTCAGGTGTCCCTTTCTGACAGGCATCAGAAAAGACCCAGCTGTCATGTAGTTCTGGAAGCAAACCCTTTCTTATGTGTCTTGCAGTGGGCAGTGACTGCAAGTTTCAAGAATTTAAATGTTCTTTCTGTCCCTCAGTTGACTTCCAAATCCTGTTCTTTGGGATGTCACTGTGTGTACACAGTGCTGCAAGAGCTAGGATGCTTCCTAGACATGACTTTCACCTGTCCCTTTGCTCCCAAGGCATTGTATTTTGTCACCAAGAAACATCTTTTTAATGGAGGCAGGTCAGAAACAGGATTTTGAATAGTCCACTGAGCCATTATAAAAAAAATCAGTAGAAATTCTCGTATTTGTACTTCTGTTTTAAGAAGATAATCACGCTGGAGTCAGTAATTCATGGCTTTTGCATAGAGCCAGTTATACCCTTTGTCATCCTTTCCTTTTGTAGCCGTTTAAACCTCAACAAAACCCCATTTCTAGAACTGTATGAATAAGATAGCAGTAACCATCCATCAAATTTTTGCTCTTTAAAACAATGTAAAACAGGGTTTGGGAATCACCTGGCTAAAATATAATCTCAAGCTCATTCTACGGAGACATTAAAATCAATTTACAATTTCTCCTAGGGAAAAATCTCTGTTTTACATATCTTAATTTATACATTTTTACCACTGAATATTTTGGCATTTTAGCATGCTCTTTAGTCAAGAATTTTGCTGGATTCTTGTGAATATTTCCCTCACATCTGGAAGAAGTTTAGCTGCCCTTTTAAAGTAAAATTGAAACGAGTTTGCTAACTTGGAACAGAATGAGAATTCAGCTTTTGTAAGCAGAATATGTATGAAAAGTTTTCCAAAGCTACTTTATTTCTAATGTTCAACAATATGCTAATTAAAATCATGTTTCCTGTAGCTGACTGTGGCTGTAGAGAAATAAATTACACAATCTGCAGTGGTTAATACAATAATGGAGTCCATTTAATTGACCTCCTTTCAAAATGGAATTCAAACTAAAATGCCAGCCAATTGTGTTTTAGTTAAACTTGGTGAATAAATCAATCTTGACTACTTACATGTGAAACGACATCTTTTGATTCTCAGAATCTTATCTTACTCAAAAAGTTGAATGCTTCAGAAGCACTACAGAAAATACAAATCACCACATCATTTTAATCCTTACCATGGCGCTGTGAGAGGAGGGAAGTTTTGTGTAGAGCAGCCAGTCAGCCTCTCTCAGTCCTATCACCCAGTTGTGAAGAGATTTCATGCTGTATTTATGTTTGTTGAGGCTTCCTGTTGATAAGGGCTATGAAATAATTATTTCTGTGAAAATTTCCTCTTGAATGGCTTTTTTAGATAAAGTATTTTCTGCTAAATGATGCTAACTACATAAACATCTCAACATTGAAGCTCTGTGATCTCTCAGACTGGAGAAAGAAACCAACTAGAAGGTCTATCACACAAAAAATCTAACTTTTAAATTTAGAGTATGAACAAACCAGATACATCAACAACACATTCCTGTCCTCTAAAATAATAAGATCACAATTAAAGTTCTAGGCTTGCCACAGGAAATTTTTGCTTGGAACCAGGTTTGGGAACTCTGAAGAATGACTTCTCTCACCCTAACATACATTTATTGCATTAGCTATCTATGGAGGCAGATCTGGAAAAGAATTTTTGAAAACCTTATTTTCAGACTTCGGCACATGTTAGTCTCATTTTGCTCTCTGCAAGATCTGGCTTATCTGAAATTCCTTGGCAGGACTGAAAATGAGTAAATACAAATGGGTATGGATAGTAGTTCACATTTTAATTTCTATTGGCAGAATAAGAAAAAATTGTGTATAATAATAAATATAATAATATATAATACAAAATCAGTATGCACTGAAACAAACATTATCCCTCTCACCAATTTTGATATTTACTTTTAGTTTCCTCTTGGTCAAATCAAGCTTTTTGAGGCAAAGGTTGAAGAAGTTGATAGATCCTGTGATTCTGATGAAGATTACGAAGCCAGTGGTCGCAGTTTATTATCAACCCATTACACTGTTGTTATCCACCCCAAAGACCAAGGACCCACTTATCTTCTTATAGGATCCAAACATGAGAAGGTAATAAATGGGTGTTTTTATTGAGTTTCAGTAGCACATCTATGAGTATGGTGCTGTGATTTGAATATTTCTTGAAGAGGACAAGGACTACAAGTCACCTGGCTTGTATTTTGATATAACAAGGAAAAGGTTCTCCTTCATTAACATTGATCAGAGTTTGTCTGCAAATCAATGCTAGTGTAGGTAATTCTTGTTAAAATAGACAAAAATTGCCTACATAAGTAGATAGTGCAGAATATCTTACATGCTGTAATGAGAATTTTGCTCACATACAATAACTTGTAGACAGAGCTGTAGCTGAGAGGTTACAGGGTACTGTATCCATTTTCACTGACAATACTAACATAGCACAGACTTGCCCTACTGTAGTAAAGGAGCAATGAGAGGTGGGGTCAAAACCATTTTTATTATTGTTGCTTCATTGTTCCCAAGAAATCTTGTATACCTCATTTTGCTTTCTGGACTTATCCCCAGGTTAGCAGGATCTGGCAGTGATAAAAAATGACTTAAGCATTTGGAAGAGGAAAGGAAGAATGCCCTGATAATTAGACATGATTTCTGAGGGTAAAAACTTTTGGAGAGCACTGTCCAATCTTCCTTGTAACATAGAGACTATGAATGTGTTTTTATTCAACCAAAGGCAAACTTCTTTGGGCTTCAAAAGGAGTGCATGGTAGGGTTTTAAGTTGAGAGAAGAATCCTGCTGAAGCAGCTCCTTTCAGCACAGAATGAATGAGCTGCTATGTTTTTCTGCTTTAGGACACGTGGCTTTATCATCTGACAGTTGCAGCTGGAAGTACCAGTGTAAATGTTGGATCTGAGTTTGAACAACTTCTTTGCAAATTATTAAATGTGGAAGGTGATGCCAGTAAGTTAATTTTCATTTCAACATGTTGATCTTCCAATGCTTATTTAGTAAATGTACTTATGAACTGAATTAACTGCAAAATGTATATATTTTATCCGTTTAGCTTCTCAAATTTGGAGACATCCTACCCTTTGCCATAGCAAAGAAGGAATTACTTCCCCTCTTACAACACTGCCATCAGAAGCCTTGCAAACTGAAGCAATTAAATTATTTAAGGTAAAACCATAGCAGATGCCTTTTTTATTAACTGACTATTTTAACTCTTTGTTAAAGAATGGCTATTATTTCGCTTACCAGATACATTCAACAGATTAGAAAAAAGAGATGTTTATTTTTTATCTTTCATGGAGGTAACTAATGGATAGCAGCAAAATGTGCCCATATTACCTCACCAAAGACTATCACTTACAATGTAAAGATAATCTTTAGTTATGACGGAGCAGTTTAGGCTTCAGCTTTTGGTGTTCCTACTTATTTGATAAGTTATTGATAAAGTGCAAGTTAGTAGAGAAATCCATCATCATCATAAGTGATAATAATTTTACCTTGAAGTTCATAGCTCCAAAGAATCTACCAGCATGGACAGATGTCTGCATTCAGAAAACTGTATCTGAAATACTGTTTTTTCAGTTAGACTCAGGGAAAAAATCATAGGCAAAAGTTTTGATGTAGATACATTTAAATCATCTGGGAGATATTTTAAAAATCAGAAGAAAAAGAAAGTAAATTTTAAGTTTAGGCAAGTCATGGATTATTTAAAAGCGAGATAGAAAGCAGGGATTGTACTGCTCTTTTTAATAAAAAGAAAATATTTTCATATGAAGTAGCTATTCTTAAAAGACCAATTATTCAGTAATAGAAATAGAGAAAATATTCCATAGAAAAATTATAAAAAGTATTTCACAAGAATTGAGTTCACTTTTAAAGATTCTCACAGATCTTTAAAAATACACATACATATATATGTCTCAGTGTAGTAAAACTGCTCTATGATTAGGAGACATAGTGGTTCACAACCACTGAGCCACAGCTAGGTTCTTGAGAAATTCTGTGTGCCTTACAGCTTTGCCAGTTGGAGGCCAGGTAGGTAGTTAATGCCTATGAGAGGGAGTATGCTGCAATGCCATTAACCTCTTCCAGGCTATAAAGGCTAATTCAGAGACAAAATAAAATGTTGCTGTTCCTTTGTCTGTACGTTGTGAAATAAATTACAACTTGGAAGCATGGAGGTTGGATAAATGAACTTTCTCCACAAAACTTAGACAAATCTAAAGAACAAATTCCCTGAAGCATCCACTATCTGGAAAATTTTGATGTTATGGTTCAGATCTAGAGAGGAATTCAAGACAAGCACTGTATGTTTCATGATGGACACTTTTAGGCAAACTTTCCAGCTTATTTCTCTGGGATGTTTGAAACACTTCAAATAAGTACATTCATCTTATTTTCTGCAACCCTGCAGCATGAAAATTTACAAGGAAATGTACTTTGATTTGTAAAACAAATTTACATCTACTTGGAAATCCCTTTTCAGACCTAATTCAAATCACAGACACATGCCTAAAGTAAATTAATTAGAGATTACTTGTATGACCTTCATTGAAACCTTGTATAAATCAGCTTAGAAGTCAGGTAGGGAATTTAGAAACAGATCACATCATGTTTCAGTTATCCCATTTATGATAACAATAGACTAGAAATAGATTGGGCTTCCATCCACTTCTTGTATTTTTGCTTATATCCCTTAAAAATTCAACTATTGTATACAGTAAATGCAACAAGTGATATCTATCCTTTCTTCTAACACAACACAACAAATGCTGGCTTTCCTGAGGCAGTACTGGCTATAAGCAAGGTCATACTTATCCTACAGTAAAAATACCGTGGAAGGCCAAGATATAAATCAATGGCTCTGAGTTATGGATTTTTTATCTGTGTTTTGCTGCCATGTTGTGCTCACTACTTAGAGAAGCATTTCACATTGTCTGGCACTGAGAGCTGTAGTCATTGAATTTCCAAGTCCTGTGGAGGGGTGAGCTGTGTTCAGCATGTCCTTAAATTTGCCTGCCACCACAATTGTTCCAACCCCTGTTACAGTTCACTCTGTTAGATACAGAGTGAACAGCACAGGTTGTAGGAAGTGTTTTATCTCAAGTCTCTCTGTATAGATTTATATCCATTCTGGCCCCTTTTCACCCCATTTTGCAGAACCAGCAGAGCTTTCCAAATCTACTGATGATTTGGAAAACTAATTTAACTAATTGTGATTTCAGTTAAAGTACACTTTTGATATACAGAACATCTTAAAGATTTGCTGAAGCTCCCTTGTATGTAAACTCACTTGCTTATTATTTTATATCTAGACCTGCCAGTTGTTTATAAATGCTGCAGTTGACTCTCCTGCCATTGATTACCATGTATCTTTGGCCCAAAGTGCTTTGCAGATCTGCCTCACACATCCTGAACTTCAAAATGAGATCTGTTGCCAACTTATTAAACAGACCAGGCGTCGACATCCACAAAACCAGGCAGGACCAATACAGGTAACCCAGTATTTATTTTAATGGTGGTGATTTCAGCAGCAATGAAGGAACTACACAGAGTGCTTAGGATGGTAAAGAGGCTCTGCTCTTCTGCAGCATCTGCTGAGTTAAGATCCAATTCACTGCTGCTGTGTTTTCCTGAAACAAAGCTGATGCTATTCTCCAACAAAATATGTGTGTCTGGTGGTGGAATATATCTCAGCCCATGCTGTTTGTAAAGGGTGGACATAAAATGGGCTGTCTTCAAGTCAACTGTTAAGTAAGAATGTAAGAAACCTAATTCTTTTTTACTGCTTTTTTCCTAAGAGAGGTGCTGCCTCAGGAAGCTTGGTGGGCTAAGCCACATAGCAAATGACTCAATTGCAAGAGTGTGAAGTAAAGCTGTGGTGTCATGTAGTGGAATATCAGATAAGGCTCAGGGCTTCTGATAGATGTCCCCTCTTGTGTGCCATGCTGTTCTGCATTCACTCTGCATGCACATTATTAAGACATGAAATTCCTCCCTTTGTCCACTACCAGCTATTCACTGCTATCCAGACACAAAATGAATTGAAAGGAAAGTCAATATGTGGAGCTTGCATAGAATTAACAGAACTGGAACATTGCACTTATGATGGAGCAATGCCTACAGAACTAGGAGATTGATCAGAAAATGAGAAAGGAAGCTACCATATCAAGGCTTCTGTAATAGACATGTTTTTGTCTTACCACAGAAAGTAGCTCAGCCATACCAATTGGTTAGAAACAGCCTGTACCTGGGAGATGGCTGATGTTGGAGAGGCACTGGCACAGGTTGCCCAGAGAAGCCACGGGTGCCCCATCCCTGGAATTGTTCAAGGCCAGGTTGAATCCATCTTGGAGCAACCTGGTCTAGTGGAAGGTGTCCCTGCCAATGCAGGGGGCTGGAACTAGATGATCTTTAAGGTTCCTTCCATTCTATGATTCAATGTGTGCACAGCTAAAACATTCACAAAGCTTTTATAACAGACATGGTACATTCACATCAATTAGCACACACTGAAGCTACGTATGGCTGATGGAATTTAAACTTACTATAATTCTTCTTTGGTACTCTTCTTACCAGTGGCAAGGTCTTCCCTCTGATGAAGGTAAATAACTTGTTGTTATCCTTACTCCCTGGAATGATTTTTAAGAGCTAATACATGCAGTAAAAGGTTTTCAGCCTTACACTAAGGTTTTTAAGTCCTAAATTCCTGCTGTAGTCTCCTACCCTTGCTTCTGTTGCAGTGCATACCTTCAACAGAGCCAATGCTATCCTCCATCAAAGTATAGATATTTGATGAAAGGGAGTATCTGTGCCAGTGCTGTCAATTTTCTGTTTAATACCAAGCAAGTCAGATAAATCAAGATAGAGGAAAACCAGTTTTTAAATCTCAGTGTGAAGCGTTGATATACTGATTTTGAGAAAAGTAGTTGCAATGTTAGTAAGTGTTTATCAGGGTACATGAGAGCACTCTGTATTAAGTGAAACCAATAAATACATACTGAGCAACAACAATATACCAAAATATTGAATTACTGTTTTTTTCAATAGTTACCGTAAATTTGGTAGGAGACAAAATGTCTCATGTGTTGCTTCATAATATGTGTAACAGGAGAGCTGAATTAAAATTGCACAGGCTTCTCCTCATATCATAATCCTTGGGCGTGCAGCCTAAGTGTTTCTGTTCCTTTGTATTAACTGCTTTTTATACAAACTCAGCTGTTTTCCCACTTCCAGCCCCAAAAGAAACTGGGTGTACACATGTAAATAGACAGAGGGTATTGGGCTTTTCAATGAGGTTCTATGCTTATTAGTTATAGTTATTAGTTATATGCTTATTTACTCAGCTTTTTCTCTGTTTTTTCATTCCTATTTTAGCAGTCTCAACTTGGCAGTAAGCTACACTGCTGGCCAGCAGGCACAGCAGGAAGTTTTATGTTGTAGGATGTTTAAAACAGTGAATGTATTCCTTTTGTTCAGGGCTTGCAGCTCTTGGCCCTCTGCGTTGGACTCTTCCTGCCCCAGCATCCATTCCTTTGGCTTCTTAAACTTCACTTAAAGAAGAATGCAGATTCCAGGTGTGCCTGAATATTATTACCCAGCTAGTCAACTGGTCTTTTTGAAATACCTTGTTTTCAATCTTTCCTGTAATATATCAGATCTTTTGACGTATATTTTAAAACGAATTTGAGTAGAATTGCTACTAAAATATAGTACATGTTACTTCTGTGCATCACTTGGGAAAATTGTAAGTTTTAAAAAAAATATTTTGCAGTGCCTACTCTGACTGTTGCAAAACTGTGAAAACCAAAATATGGCAGTTACACAACACACCCTGTGCCATGTTCACCTTTGGCACAATTCTGCTGGTCTCAGTTGACTAATTTTCTTTCTAATTCCACGTGCAAAAAAATGTTTTGGAAATCTCACCAAGTGAAATCTGAATGTCCTCCCATCTGGCCTCTCCAGAAATATTCACTCACAGTTTCCTATCCTTTCAATCAGTCCCCAGGAACTGCCTTATTTCTCTTTTTCCCACAGGACTGAATTTGGGAAATATGCTATATATTGCCAGCGCTGTGTAGAACGTACCCAGCAGAACGGAGACCGAGAAGCCAGACCTTCCAGAATGGAAATCCTTTCCACTCTCCTGAGAAATCCCTACCACCATTCCCTGCCCTTCAGTATTCCAGTTCATTTCATGAATGGCATATATCAGGTAATGTCATGCAGGCCACGAAATCTGAGCTCTCCCAGCCCCCTGCTGTCAGCACATACACCAAGCAGTACATCAAAAAGAGGAAGGTAAACATGGCTCGAGTTTCCTCCTGTGCCAGTGCCAGCAATGGCAGGCACAAAGCACTTGTGATCTGATTTGATCAACTAAGAGTAAAGGTTTGGGGGAAAACCTTGAAGAGAAAGAAAAAAGCAAAACCTTGTAAGAGTGAGAACTGCCAAAACTCTGTTTCTTATTTAACCTGACCACCAGATGAATGAATTAGACTGAAGGAAAAGGAAAGGTATTAAATTCCACTTCCTTTCATCAGACATCTTGGAAGTTAAATATCTCAGTGAAGTCCTGGAAGCACAGCTGTAACTCCCATTATCAGTCCTGAAGGACAACCATATTTGTTACAGAACAAACATGGCTCCATTCTAAACTCTCTGGGGACGTCATTAGTCAAAGCCCCTAGGACACATTCCATGGGCTTCCAAGCATGCTGCTTCACATCCTGGTTTATGTTTCCAGCTGTGAGAGATGGCTGAGAAGAGTTTTAACAATTCATAGTATTCCTAGATAGAAAGCAACTTTTTATATGAAATCAAAGCTATATCAAATAATTTTTTTATTTCAGATTGCAACAGAAGTACTTTGCATTTTTTCATCTCTAAGTTTCTTAATTGCTTACTGCTTGCCCAGTAAAACAGAAAAAAAACAACCTACATTTAAGCCAACTAACATTTAAATCATCCTAAAGGGTTTCAAAATTGAAGTTTGGAAAAAAAAAGAGTAACTGCTCATTAGTTATTTACTGCCCAAAATTGTATAGTTACAAGGGCTAAGAAAATAGTAATTAAATACATAAATTACCTCAGTGGGATCAGCAAATAACAATTATAATGGTATTAAAAACTCTTGTATTAATCTCTGAAGATTAATCAGATTTTTATTTTAATGCCAGGCACTGAGAAGTTCAAACAATAGTTCATGATCCATTTTCAAGATATTTTTTTACCAAAACATTTTCAACATGTCAAATACAGGAAAACACTCTCAATAAAGATTTAAGTGAACATCAGCCACTGCTACCTGTAAAGAAGCTATTTGCCATCTCTTGCTAAAATGCTTCAATACCAGTCACAGCAAACAGAAGCTGATATTTGTGGAAGTTAAATTTAGAAGGTTCTGTATATTACTGACCTGTGTAATAGTGACAAAGCAACATTCATAAACTATTTTAGATCTGCCAGTGTAGATCTGTCACCTGATATCGCTCAAGTTGCCCATGATGAAAAATGATTAATTGATCTCATTTGCTTTGCACTATATTGAAAGGTACAGGAAATTAAAATTTTCCTTTTACAAGTGGTATTTTTCACAAAAAGCTCAGATACTAAACTGCTATCTGTCATATAAATTCTGTAATAGAATTCCAAGTGTAACAAGTGCAAGGAAACCAATTCCACTAAACTGACTTCCCATGTGAAAATCTTTTTCAGGCCCTATATGGAAAATTTTTAATTTCCAATTACAGTAATGGATGAAATGGGTCTTATAGTTCCACCATTATTCTAGAAGTATTATATTTCAAAATCCTAGATTTAAAGGGGAAACAGATATGAGTTTGACAGCAAAATACATTTTGGCTTCTTTTTTAGGTTGTTGGGTTTGATGCCTCTACCACAGTAGAGGAATTTCTGAACACTCTGAACCAAGATACAGGGATGAGGAAACCAGCTCAGTCAGGATTTGCACTGTTTTCTGATGATCCCTCTGGCAAGGATATAGAGCACTGTCTTCAAGGAAACATCAAGGTAAACAAAAGCCTTTAATGGGCTGTGCATATAAAAAAATAAAGTATCTTCATTTGACAGAGATCTCTTCAGACAATGTAAAGGAAAACAATTTTCAGGCTGAAAACTGTCTTTTTTTCTTAATGTGAAAGATTTTTTTTTTTAAAGATCACTTTTTCAGTTGCTGAAGTTCATTCAGTGAACTACAGTTAAAAGCCTTCTCCAAGAGATCTGTATTATTCAGAGAAGTAACAGCTGTGTTAAAAAACAAAAAGTAAGCTGTTACAGTTCTTTAAGGAGCATTAGAGTCAAACAAGGATTTAGAGATTTCAGTCAACGTTTCTGATATAGCTCCAAAAGATGACCATGTGAGGTCCAAGAAGTCATTGATACTGGGGTGGAGATCCTGGGAAATTAAAAAAAAATAAATGGTTCCTTCTTTAATACAGAATAGGCTTAAGGCTCAGTTTAAGAAATTTCCAATTTTTGGCTTGCCATTGTCCTGAATTCTAAAATTTAGCTCTATTGATAGAATTAAATTCTTAGCAGTAAGGAGTGACAAAAAGCAATATAATCTGTACTTTAGTAAAATATTAGATACTATCCAAGTCTTTTAGCAACTAATGAATCATTAATTTTTTGTATTTCTACCAAGTAGTTTTTTGCACCCTTTGGCCAATGTTCACAGCTGCACTTTTAAGTTACAAGGTGTGGTACAACCTGGCCTTGGTGATAAACAAGCGGCGTCACCACAATCAGAAAAATTACCATATGGAAAGCAAAATTTATAAAATATGTACTTATTTTCTAGGTAACTGTAAGTTTAGAAACTACTCATATTACTGCTTCCAGTAAGGCTCTTTTATGAAGGAATGGTGACATGAAGCCCAGTTGGGGTCCTAGGATCTCTGTTCTACTGCCTCCCCATCTGCCCACCTACCCACCTACACAGATTGTTGTGAACCACTTTTGGTGCATTTTTTAACAAACTTCATACAAAAGGACCTGAAAAACTTGGGCATGTAGTAGAAGAAGAAGGCAGAGATCAAAGGCATTTGATTAATTATATAACAACTCACTCTGTGTTTTTACACATTCATTGGCAGCTGCTAAATCAAGTATCTGGCCTTTCCATGTTAATGGCTTCTTTCCAAAGGCAGTGCATGTGTTGCAGGATAAACAAAACCCAAAAATGTTAATTATTAAACACTTTGACTAAGAAATACAAGTAAAGTTATACTTCAGTGAGTTTAAAAATTCAAGCTGTGTATGTATCTAATAGGTGATAGGTAGAGGACATTAAAATAAGTTGACAGTTTCTTTTCAAGGTATTTGCAAATAAAAAGGCATGCCAAATCAGTTTTGTATTGCTTTCCTTCTAGATCTGTGACATTATTTCAAAATGGGAGCAAGCCTCCAAAGAACAACACCCTGGGAAATGTGAAGGCACAAGGACTGTCCGCCTAACTTACAAAAACAGGTTTGTTTAGCAAGTACAATATCGCTGCCTTGTCCCGAGATTTGTTTTTCACTTTCTGCAGTTTCTTCATCTGAGAAACACTGGCTGACTTGAAGCTTGCAACAAAAATAGTAAATGGGTGTAACTGGAGAAATTTTTTTAAATAGAGTTACCTTTTTTTTTTTAGTTCTTAAGACATGAACAGGGCTGCAAAAAATTCCCACTGAAGTCAGAAGACTGACATTAAATATTTACCCACTGGTTCAAGTACAAGTGTTGCTCTGCTAATGTGTTTTGCCACTGAAATAAACATGTCACATTCAGAGCAGATACTGCTAATCCTCAGGGCTAATGCATTTCCATATCTTCTTTATTTAATAACTTTCTGTCTTTTGTGTAGGCTTTATTTTTCAGTTCAAGTTCATGGCGAGACAGACAGAGAGAAGCTGCTGCTAGTGTATCAGACAAATGATCAAATAGTCAATGGACTTTTCCCTGTAAACAAAGAATTAGCAATGGAATTGACAGCCCTTTTAGCTCAGGTAATCTTTATGCATGGATAACTCACACAGCAGTTTTTCAGGAGAAAATCTTAAACAAACTGATATAGGATTGCTTCACACTCAATTGACCTTCACCTTTTACATATGAGTGTCAGGAAACAGACTGGGCTGGGATATTTGTGTAGAGCAATTTTTAACTGGAGTGGAAATGCTTTACAGCCTTGGTGCTGCTGGCACCAGTATGGCTAAAATGTGCTCTCCCTCTTGCACAGCAAGGCCCTCTGGCATTTAATATCATGTAATCATGTACCATTTCTTCATTCACTATTCCTTCCATGATTTCTGCAAATTAATTCTCCAAAGTAACAGCTCTTCAATGAAAGTCTAAGAGTCCTTTACTAGACACGGTCTTGATGTCTTATTTTTAAAAAATTAAAAGCTCAAATGAAGGGTTTTGAGAAAGTAATTTGATGTTGTTATTCAATAAATGTAAACTGATTTGTGTTAGCTGAAGAGAGAGCAATCTAAGAGCAGAACAATTACATATATTTTATGATATTTAAATTTTTTCCATGGTAGGTAGAAAATAAGAAAATCACTAGTGTGACTTTTTTATCAGTGAAAAGTACGTATTATTTGACAAATTTGTTTTCTTTTATACTTGGTCGAACAGATCAAAAGATAGTTCATAATATCCAGCTAGAAAATTACTTTAGAGTAACAAAAAACTTTTTTCATGGACTTCCCCTTAGGTAGAGATTGGAGATTTTGAACGGCCTTTCTCAACTCCAGCAGGGCAAGTCACTTCCCAGTCCAAGTCCAACCAAACCCTAAAGCAAGTTTTGGAGAAGTTCTACCCTAAGAGATACAAGCAAGGTTGTTCAGATGAACAGTTAAGGTGAGATGGGTCTTTTGAGTCATATTCTCTAAAGATCTAGGAGTGAAACAAAGAAGTTTTAAATTGTCATTGGGAATAATGTATTGTTGAGCTATATTTGCCTAACCTGTGTTTGAAACTCATTTTCTTGCTAATCTAAACAACCCATTTCCTCTGCACATTTCTAATCTAAACAAAGGACCATTATTAATAACACATTCCAGCAAAAGATGTAGCAGTTACTACATAGTGTTACAAAACCCAGCGATTTTGAAATTCTTATTTTTCTTACTCAGCAAGTCTAAATGAGGTCTGAGTGTGCACAGACTAAAGAGTTATGAAGTAAAGGACATGAGGACATGATCTGTTAGTTATTCTAGTGTGCAATCTCTGGCAGCCAGTCAAATTGGAAATGTAACTTAGTGGACTTACTAGTAAGGTATCACTTTATTTAAAACTAATAACCTGCAAGGCATTTAAATCAACACCTACTGATATGAAAATGAGCAGAACAGTGTAATAAATTATCCACATCAGTGATACAGCAGTTTTGAAGTCCAGTAACATCATAGAGATGTTCTTCAGTACAGAAAATTTTCAGGTTGAGAAAATCTAAAGCTACTATTATATGAACATAGTAACATTATTACATAATCAAAAGGCAATGGGGTATTCAGACTCATGCAATTAACTTCAAAGAACAAATTATAAAAGGTCTCACATTAGATTAACTCATGGAGGAAAAGTGAAAAATCTGTTGAACTGTTTAAGTAGTCCTACACTACTGGCTGGCTGAGCTGGAGATCTGTGGCACGGGAAGAATCACTCTGTGCCTGCCCTATTGCCTATATTGTTTTTGCTAAGGGTGCAGTTTGACCTCATCAACAGTAAGAGCAAAGCTGCAAGTGCTGGATCTCCCTTTACTACACATTAACCCTGCCTTTTCACGGGCTACTTCTAATGACATTATGGCTGCTGGGTGAGTCATCCCTCCAGGTTAGTGTCCTAGAAAGGTATTCTGGGCTGGGCGTTTTTTGAAAATTAGTTTTTCCACACTATTGAACCAACTTGCCAAGGAGCCACAAATTGACAGAAGGAGCCAGAAAAAAAGCCCCAGCGTGAACACACTGTGCATCAGGAGTAGCATTCTGGGTAGCAGTGCCCAGACATACTAAAAGGGAGTAGAGCTAAGCCACGTCTCTCACGCCTCCTACCAGCCACAGGTAAAGATATGTGCTAAGCTGGATGGATTTTTGGAATGACAGCTGACATAGCTGTTGAGTACTGATAAAGGTACATTGATTCTCTGTAGAGACACGTTAAAAACTGTACCAGACTTTCTGCCTTTATGCTGCAACTGCTAGATCAATATTTAATCATAATATTTCAGAAATTAGAAGATACTTCATAATTTTTATGTGCATTAAAATACTAAATGACATTTTGGATTTATTTAATACTGCATCAGTGATAGTCCTTGTATTAACTGAAATTACCATTTTAAGAAATGGATTCTTCTGTTGCTCATTAAACTTGCTGTGGGCAAGCACTGGAATTCCCTTCAGTAAGTAAATCCCACCCTTCATTTCAACAGACAGCTTTGCCAGCGACTGTCGACAAGATGGATGGCTCTCCGTGGGCACAGCGCCGCAGACTGCGTGCGCATTTACCTCACCGTGGCCAGGAAATGGCCCTTCTTTGGGGCTAAACTGTTTGCAGCAAAAGTGAGACTTTTTAATCAGTTTGACTGGGGAGGGGGACGAGGGGCTTAAATATTAATATAATTTGCAAATAATAGTATATTTTTGTTAAATATAACTGTGTATACATGAGTGTAGCTATGATATTTTCTGAAAAATCCTTTCTTTAGGATTTTTTCTCCTGAGAAGCCTTAAGAACAAAATGTAAACAATTATTATCTGCTGCTGTGGAATGCAAAAAGTGGATCTGTGATTGGTCTCATGTGGTTGTTTCTAATTAATGGCCAATCACGGTCCAGCTGTCCAGACTGTCTCAGTCAGTCACAAGCTTTTGTTATCATTCTTTTTTCTATTCTTAGCTAGCCTTCTGATGAAATCCTTTCTTCTATTCTTTTAGTATAGTTTTAATATAATAGATATCATAAAATAATAAATCAAACCTTCTGAAACATGGAGTCAACATTCTCGTCTCTTCCCTCATCCTAAGACCCCTGCAAACACCATCACACATGAGCTGATTGAACTCCTGTCAAATTACTTTTTAAGTCATAGACTGCTGAAATAAAACAGCCATAGTACTGAGTGTATCATAATAGTAACTTTCCAATACTCTTATTGCTTGTTTTCCATTATTAATCTGTGTTTCCATTTCCCTCTGTCTTAGTTTGAGATAGCCTTTTAGGTTCAGACTCTTTTTACCTGATAACGAATGGAACATTGAAAAGGTATCATTAGCTGGCTGTGGAAGCTGAACCTTGCAGAAGGACTAAATGTGGTTAAGGGTATTTAGAGCACTCCCTTCTATGCTGGCCCCTTCTCAATTTCTCTTAACTACTGGTATCTTAATTCTTTCGATTCAAATAACAGCTCTGTTCAACAGAACTGTCACCTCATGCCTTCAGTTTTAATAGTTAAACCCAGTGTGTGTGTGTGTGTGTGTGTGTGTAAACATATATATATATATATATATAAAAAACTGCTTGTCAGCACTCTGTTCTTTGTGTATTTAGATATATGAGCTAGGGGACAAACTGTAGGACACCTGACTATTTTATTAAGGAGACTATATATTTTATTGGACTAAGGACCAGGGTAGGTTTCAAGTGTATCAGTTTGAGTTCATTGTTCTGCCACTGGCCACCTACATGGCATTGGGCAGGTATTTCAATTCCTTTCCTGAGATTTACACTGAGAGGGAATTGAAGTGAGAACTGTGCATGGAGAGAATAGTAGTAGTAACTAAAGGACATTTCTCTTTGTAGCCTCTAGCAACAGCCTCAGTTGAGAAGTCCTTCATATGGTTTGCTGTCCATGAAGATGGAGTAAGCATCCTGGATTACAGCTCCATGGTAAGTGAAATTTCTATTTCTAATTTGGTCAAGGTAGATTTTAGTACTAATGATTTGGAGAGATTCACCACCATACTATCTAAAAGATGGCATTAGCTTTCCATGCTAAGTTATCTAGTCCTTCTCTTAAAGCAAAAATTCATTCCTTTTAAAATGTTTTAATGTTATCATCATTACAGTAGCACTAATAATAGAAGTAAGTAATGAATTCTTTGCACAGAATTTATTTTTGTTTATCAGATACAGTTTTTATATCATTTAATGAAATGTTAATGTTTTAATCATTCAGATGTCAGGAAATCCATAGTTATTTTAATGTTATTACAATAACATTAATTTTCTTTTCCTGGAGACTTAATTTTCCAGTATTATTCATAATACATACACTCTGCAAAGAGCAGTTACTTTAATAGATTGTTATTTTCATTGTATTATTTTTGTTTAATAGTAGGTAATATAACCCAGTGTTATTTAATTATGTCATTTTAGGCTCAGATTTTTCTTTGATTTGCAATACAAGTTTTCATAGAAAACGACTTGTAATCAGTGTGAAAAGCAATGCCTGAGAAGATCCCTGCTTTCATTTATATCCTGCAAAGAAAAAGAATGGCATGTTGCTATTAGCAAGTGCTAATATTGAATATCAGAAAATTAAAATCTCAGCTTTATAATTGTGCTGATATGGGCCTTTTCATTACATTTCTTTGCAGTTCAAGAAATAATAAAACAAAGAGCATGAGGAGAGGAAACAGCAGCTCTCAGGGAACAAGCAAAACATGCTTGCAGTAGACTGCAGAGCTCTACCAGCACTGCTCCTGGAGCTGTGGCATTTCTGTAGGCCATTGCCAGGTTAGGTAGTGGCAGGCCTTACTTGACATTCAAGGAATGCTCAGCTTCCAGGGAACATTGGGATTTTCTGTAAGAAGGATCAGGGAAATCAGAAATGATGCTGCAAGGGGTAGAGATAATACTATTGCAAAACTGGGGAAAAAGAGGTTTACTAAGGAAGGACACTAAATCAGTTATTGTACAAATGTTGTCTGACAATGAATTTTAAATGCAAACATCTGCAGCAAATTAATGTGAGGTGTAACAATAGATTAAATGCTGATCTTAACTCAAAGGCCATTTTTGTGGTGTTACACCCTGAACAGTAAGAAAAAGCTGAGGAGCCCTGAAGAGCAATTATGTTTCATCAGAGATGTGAAAAAAAGAGAACAGAATTTAATTTTTGTGTTTGCAAAACATATCACTGCACAAAAAGACTACCTGGAGTTACATTCCTTCAGATGTCTCACACTCTGCCATTTAATTTATTTAGATACTGCTTCAATTTCAAGTGGAATTTGTAAGATTAACTTTTCTCAAAGTCAATCAAGATTTGGGTAAATGGAATTACACACTGGAGTTGAGATGTTCTTATATCTTTTATCTAATTATTGGAATAGAAACAGAGGTCAAACTTAGAAGAGTTATCGTCTACAGTGATAAAAACTCCTCACCCTGAAGGTCTAAATGAAGCTATCCCAAAATTCATAGTTAATTACAAGATTCATAAGAGGATACCTCCATTGAAAAATATGTGTGTAATTATATTTTTAAAAGAAGAATTTGTCATAATCTGTTTTTCCTGCATGGTCCTGCTTAACAGCTTTGTGTTTTGTTCTGGGGGTTTCCATTTTCCAGAGGCTGACAGTTACATACACATATAAGAGCCTGATGACTTTTGGAGGCTATCAAGATGATTTTATGCTGGTTGTTAACAATGCTCAGACAAAGGACAAATCAACTGAAAAACATCTTTTTGCCATGACAAAGCCAAAGGTTGGTCTATTAACCTGAAACAGTTTCCATCTGCTTTTGTGCTCTCTCTAGTGGGTAATCCCTAACAGATGTGAAAGATGAAACACCTTTTTTTACTCCTAGCCTGCTCAGATTTCTGGCTTTTGCCAGATGATTTTAGAGAGCAAATAATTTGTAATGTCAGGGCTAACTGTGACAGTACTGATGTGTTCCTGTTCTTTTCATGTCCCTGTCTGTAACATTCCAGAGTTTTCATAGAAGAACAAAGAAGGCTGATAAGGACAGAAATTACATGCAGTACCTAAAACCTACTCTGTTTGCCTAATCAGCACCAGAGATGATTTTTCAAAAAGTACATTTGGGATCTACAGTGAAATTGTAAAACACAACATCTGAAAGATCAGTCACTTCTTAGAAATCCTAGGATATTTTTCCTTTTGGTTGAAAGAAAAAGAAGTCCTGCTTTTTAAATCTAGATTCTCTCCTTTACTGGGAAGACTCACTATATTAAAAAAAAAAACAAAACCCAAAACCCAAAGGTTTTGCTGTTAGTTTGAACAAATTTAAGAAATAATACAAAATTCCACATATAAATTGGGTTCAAAACATGATTCTTCATACAAATAAGCATAGTAAAATACACATGTTGAAGTTTCCCTCAGATTGTGCCCTTACAGAATCACAGAATGGTTTGGGTTGGAAAGGACCTTAAAATCACCTAGCTCTGACCCCTCTGCCCTGGGCAGGGACACCTTCCACTAGACCAGGTTCCTCAGAGCCCCATCCAAGCTGGCCTTGAACACTTCCATGGATGGGGCATCCACAGCTTCTCTGGGCAAGCTGTTCAGTATCTCAGCCAGGTTTGTATGGGTCACAAAAAGAAAATATGATAAAAACCTCCCCAAAGTCTTTATTCCCTTCATCTACCCTGCATCTTGAGTTCTCTGAGTCTCTGGCAAAACTTCTCAGGGTGTCATCTTTTGGACTTAACATCTCTCTCAAAATTAAATAAGTCATCTCTGAATCATTTAAGACTGTGGAAGACAAAGTATCTTTGATTCCTGGTGGGAATAACATTACATTATTTAAAGGAGCAATAAAAAAAGCTTTATTAGTTATCTCCTCTCCCCCCATCATTAATTTGTTAAAGTACAAGTACTTATCCAGTTGATGGTGATTGTCACTTGCTAAAAAGTTAGCTATTTTTTCAGCAGTCAAAACACATCACTGTATTTTTCAAAGAGTTTTGTATGTTCCTGTTATAGATTCTTGAGATCACTCTACTGATTGCCAGCTACATTAACAACTTTCATCAGCTGAAAGGAGTTGCTCATCACCTCTCTGCTCCAGCATTACTGGCACCTCAAAGTGGACAGAAACTCAAGGAGATGGGGAGCCAGCCACTTCTGGCAATCAACAGACCAACTAAATGTCCCACTTTGTTATGAAAGGATTATGTATCATGATAATGCATCCTTGGTGGAGGGTTTCTGCATGGACTGAAAACCTTCTGAGGTACAAGATGCAGAGCATAAGCAGCTCCATAAACAAAAGGAAGGTGGACAGGTTTACATTTACTCAGTTGCATATAAGAGGAGTAGCCCTTAAATTAAAGCTCTGGCCTGAATTGGAAAGATGATGAGTCAGTTTAAGGACTACGATTGACTGGGGGTTGCTTGTGCCTGCTGCTCAGAAAAAATACATCTGTTTATAATGATGGAGAAAGGCATCATTGGAAAAAACTGTATAGATTTTACAGTTTTACAGATATATTCTCAGGGACCAAACTGTCTTCAGCTCTTCATCTCTTATTTTTCAAAATTAGACCAGTTTTATAACTTTCATTTTGAAAAGGAATTTTTGTTTAGAAAAGCAGTCAAATACAAAATACTTTTCACTTCCAGCACCATCCTTATTTGCAATACAAGTATCATGGGACTAAAAGGAACAAATTATGTATAATTGTTTCTCCTTTGAAAAAAAACCAAACACATAAGCACATGTAACTATTACAAATTTAAAGAGTATTCTCATGATACACTCTAGCCTTTATTATACAGCTGTTTTACCTGGCAAATCTTCGGCCTTGGTCTGGTAAATTTCTAAATAAACCTTCTCTGCTCCAGCCTTTTGAAAAGAATCTAAACTGGATAGACACTGTATTTAGTACAGTTCTGTTAAACAATACCCTGTACCTAATTTCTCCTTTAATCCAGAATAATAATATAATACAGATGGCAAGAATGACTCACAATTCAAAACACAAGAACAACACAGAAAACCATTGACATAAAATGTTGTGAGTAAATGGAGACCTAAAATCCATGTACAATATGTATAATGTATATACATTGAGTCTGAATAATATTTACTTCTTGTTTTTAATTTGTATCGATACTTTTCCTATGCTAATACTAATATAATGTTCTTGCACACTGAAGACATGATGCTGCATCTGCACTATTGGACCTAGGAGCACTTTCCAGTTGCCTTTTTCAGGTGCAAGGCTCAGCGCTACATAGGTCAAATGTATAGAAATTACATCCATTGTTTTTCTTCCAGTCCTCTCTTTTTGTTCCAATGCAAATAAACCACTTCTGCAGGCTCCAGAATGGATCAGCACCATACTCTCATAGATAATTTAGGTACAACCATGAAGAAGGTACTCAAACATAAATCACTGATTCATGGACATTTTACAGTTTTCACTTTGGCTCATGTTAATGATCACAAAGCATTAATCCCTTACAGCCAGTCCTCATTGGTTTTGTTTGATTATTACTTAAACTGACGTAATTTCACAATGAAAGAAATCTCTGATTTATGTTCTTTAAATATTTCAAATGCTCATACTGAGAGAAAAGGTATTTTCAGCTTTTTGCCCTCTATTAAAAGCAGGGGATATGGGGATACAGTATCCTCCTAAAGAATTAAAATAGATTGGAAGGGAGATACAGGCCATGAAGAGAACATGGTCTTAAAAAGGGGAAAGGCAGACAGGCAAGCTGGTTTTCTTTAGAAAGCTCTCAAAGTCCTGCCACAGCTACTGAAGTGCACAGGACTCAAGCACCACCTGATGAATGCATGAGCCAATGCTTCCTCTTGAAAATTACAACCAAACAACTCACATACCATATCCAGAGGCTTTCACTTTTGCAAGGTGGACAGGGCTTCCTGGTAACTTCCACCCTTTGGTGGGGGCACTAGACCCTTCTCTTTCCATGAGGCAGGGCCAGCAGCAGGAGGTTTTACCTCCTCCTAGATCATCCAGGGAAGCATCTTGGGAGCCCCAAGAGACCAATGGCATTACTTCTTGTGTTCCACCCCATGGGAAGTGATACAGATCCCATGGTGAAATTCATTTAGGAATTAACACCCCTTTGCAATCAGCAGAATAATTAACTTTCAGATTTGAGGGGGTAAGGGTGTTTACAAATACAAATATGTTACTGTATCAGTTAGGTTACAGTACAAAGCTTCCCAAATATGATTAAAAACTTCCATTTACAAACACAAAAGCCTTCTTGTAATCATGAAATTATGATAACCTGGAATACTCCAACTAGTAGTCTTTCCTAATTGACCAATTTCAAATGAATGTGGCAGATCACCTTCTGTTATTAGAAGGGAAAAAAAGTGGAGCATTTTGCTAGTGAGCTTGATAATGTAGTTTTAAAAATCTTTGTTGAATTTTGAACAACATGATAAACAATACAAATAGCTGAAGTGTACACTTGGAGATTTCATTAACAACATTACAAACAGCTGTTTTATAAAGCCCTGTATAGTCTATGAGCAGAGTATGACCTTCCTGCCTGCCTTTGGGTAGGAAACTCAATAGACACTGCTTTGCTTTTTTCTGTTGAGCTCTTGCTGCTGCAGTGTGTCCCTACATCATCATAATCAGAAGCAATCCATGCATTAGTTCCCCTTTTTTGGCATGGCTTTCCAGACTCACTAACTGCTCATTATAGGTCACCATTAATGCCACCCAGTCACATGACCAGAAATGCTGAGTTATTTTATGAAATAAATGCACTCACAGTTCCTGTGACAACCCTGTGTTAAACAATGGAGCTGCTTCCAGTTTGATCAGCAAGAGTGAGGTTTCTGTAGGGACAGTAACCTCAGCAGACACTTCCCTGCAAGGTAACAGGGTCAGCAGGTGGAGTCCCTTCCACCATGTGCAAGCACACTCCCAAACACAGCTCTGCATATCTCAGGGCCTTGCTCCATGGTAATCAAGCTCCAGAGCTACTTAAAGAATACTACACAATGCCAGACAGCAAGGCTGAAAATTTCACAGTCCAAGCAGACAATCTGTTCTGCCTTCCCCACCAGCCCAAGCCCCATGGGCAATCCAGAGCTCAGTCTTGACCTGAAGTCCTGCACCAAAGAAATCCAGACTGTGCTACCTAATCCATGACTAAAGCAGGGTAGGAACCTGACCCTTCTCACCTCAGCAGTGATGATTCTGTGGGAGCTGTCAGTGAGCAGCAGCTTCTGAGACCGTTGCTGGAAAACTTCCTATGTTCAAAGCTTGCAGAACCTAGGTTGTAAAAATATTGGCAGGATGGGATTAATATGTTAGCACATGCAAGGAGACTTCCCCTTCTGCCATGAACTTTAGATTATCTTTCATGCTTGCTTTGAGTTAGTGGTCAGAATCAACAATCCATGCAGATGATCAATGAATCTGAGCTTGACAGTGACTGAAAAATCACTGGCAAATGTCTGTGTAAACAATCACATTGTTTTGAAAAGACTATTTGGAATGCAATGTAAATTAATATATTACTTGAACTTCACTTTGCCTTGTCAGTTTTTGAGCAGCAGTGTTAGCAACAAAACAACTGATTTCTAGAACAAGCAAGACCCATTTACTCCTGTAGCCCACCAGGCAAAGGATAAAGCTTTAAGGTATTAATACAATCCCTAAGTTTAATGGGTTTTGTTATTTTATATTTAAATTTTGTTTAAATTTTAAATAAAAGCATATATTTCCCTATGAAAGAAGGCTGCTAGGTATTTGGTGTTGAAGTTCCTTGTCAGACTACCAGTTTTCCTAGGTTTTAATGGTTTCTGAAGGAAGAAAATCATTCTTGTGTAAAGAAATGCACCACAAAGTTCTAGGTAGAGCTTTAATAGTCCATACAGTTTAGTACAATCCATTAGTCTGAGTTAATTCTAACTAAGATGGTAAGTAACTCAGTAATACTGAATTAGGGGGAGAAAGTTTTGTGTGTGTGTTGTTTTGGGTATTCTTTAAAGTTTATTAGGGCAAAAGAAACACAGAAAGTTGAAATATAAAACACTGAAAACTCCAGTTTAAATTACAGATTGGGTTTCAGTGCATTTACTAACTGTACACACTTTTACTGTGCTCAGAACTGTACTGTAGCATCTCCCAGATATGCCACCTCTGACAGTGAGTAAATCACTGTAAAAACACTTTGCTTTTTATACTCTCGTTGTTGCAGTAATGCCTGCGTAGGTCACAGTGCCAGGAGCAATGCCTACCATGGTTTTGCTGTCTTTGGCAGAGCAAGGGCAGCTTTGTCCAGGGATTTTGCTACCTCTAGATGCTGATTACAGATCAGCACCGGCTTCACATATATACTAAAATATCAGACGTGTTCTGTTGAACTGAAATTGATGAAAGAAATGCACTTAGACATCAGCATGATCTGCACTGTGTAACACTATGTAATTAAGTTTCTTTCTGGATTTTAATTAGTAAGACCATGGTTTCCATAAGAGGGTAGCAAATTCCTGATCATTTGCATGCAAAAACCTGGAAGTAATTAAAAACAACAAAAATAGCTATATAAAGGCTTCTGGAACTGAAACCGAGTGATTATGCAAGCTAAATATAGAAAAACAGATCTTATTTAAAGAATGAACATTACTTAGGGTCAGTGTTAGGATACTCAGCCTTCTTTGGGTAAGGAAGAAGGAACAGTTAAAATGAAATCTGAGTTAATCATTATGAATGAGGCCATTTTCCTGGCTTTGATCAAACAGGTAACTGAATGATTTCAGGTCTTTCTGTCTCCACTCTCCCAAGATACAAAGCAGCTCCTCAACTACAGAAGAGAGCTGTAGTTGCTGTCTTGGATTTTGGGCCACTTCTCTATAGGACACTTTAAACTTGTTGGGTTCACCTACATCCCATGTCCATTTCATACTCAGGGTCATCCTCCTGTTCTACTGCACCCTTTAAATCCTACTTTCTAATCCAAGCCCACCATTTTTGGACTTGATTTTTGATAATCTTATTTGAAATAATCCAGCCCCTGCTTGTTACAGTATCTTACTTTGTATGCCCCTAGTAACTACAAAGTCACAGAAACCCAGAATGGGTCAGGTTGAAAGGGTTGGTCATCTGCTCCAACCTCCCTGCTCAAGCAGGGTCATCCCAGAGCACAGGGCTTAGGATTGTGTCCAGTTGGTTCCTGGATACCTCTGGTGAGGGAGACTCTACAG